CAATGCTGTGACTCATATCTTCTGTTTCACAAGAATCTGATGATGCAACATTATTGTAATTGATTCATTTTCTCAATTAAATAAAGCTACTGTGCTTTTCTTTATATGGATGCCACACAGACCATAGAGTTAGATGTATTAGCTCCTTTCCCCGTCTCAGATATATTGCCTTAAAAGCTGTATGCTGTTCCTCTGTTAATTCCACCAGAAAATTTAATGCCACAGCCATATTTTTCAAATTCTGAACTACCACGCACTCGACTGTATTTATATTAGGCATATTTTTCACAGCTAAACTCTTTGTTGTTTACCTTTTTCAAGATCATATTACTGTACAGGCACAGTGACCGTAAAACAGATCCAACCAGTCAACCTCTAGTCATTGCTTCTGCTTTTGCACACAGTTCATGAAAAAGTGAAGCCCCCGGTTTTATAGCACATTAAAAGTGGTACTAAGGGGTCTCAACATAAAATGTTAGCTTCCTGAGTGCCTATCTTTGTTCTGGGTCTGCTTTCCAAACGCTGGCTGAGAGAGGAGTTCAGAGGAACACAATAACATGGTTAGGGCTGATGCGTCGCCTGCACCTCCCAACACACAAAATGCTGTTTATAAAACTGACTTGCCCAAGTTCACATGCCTGCTTGTACATTCTGCTTGCATCGAGCAGTTTCCATGTCTAACTAGTACTATGGGGCAATGAATAAAACAGTAATTGCTCCAGATGTACACTTCACTAATCGGTCTCTAGAACTAGTAGTGTTTGATACACTAAGCAGATGAACCTCTTCCCTCTTCTAGGCACAGCTTTTTTTTTCTTCTTTCATCAGCTGCTAAAGCCAACATTTAAAAACCACACTAAGAGGAGAGTTACATGGTGCTCAACTGGGGAAGAAAGGTTTCGTGAAAGGCAGCCACAAGCACCAGTTTGGTCTTTCTGTTTTTGTATTAATAGCCATCATCTACTTCTTTACAAAGATTGTACAATTGGCAATTAAGAAGCTCCTATAACATGAATGTCTTGAAAATGATTCCGGAACGGAACTGCCAGCGCAAAACTTTGCTTGTGGAGTCTCAACTGTTTGTTCAATGGTGTCTGCGATAAAAAACCATTGTGGAACCTTTATTTTATGCTTCCCTGTCTCAGAGTTCTTTTTACATGCAATGATAAGACAGACCATGCTGCCGGCCCCTTTACATTACATTCAGAGGCATAATCAGAAAACTAAAATAGTTCCACCTATGGAACTTAGAGAAGACACCAGCGGTAGCTTTCATTTTCTCTTTTACTCTCTGAAATTATGGCTTGCCCTGCAGCTCTTGTCGGAGAGATTTATGTATGACCTAGGTCATATCTTCCAATAGCAGTTGACAAATATTCTCTTTACATATTTACTGCTTTTCAAGCTTGTGATATTTTCTCTTAAACAGAATAAAGCAATACAAAATCACATCATTTGGTTGGAATTTTAAGAGTATCATTTTCATTTGTTGTGCTACGGGCATTATATTCCAGCTTTCAAAATAGAACTCTCTACCCCCGTCTCTCTTTTAACTTAAAATTTCAGGAACCACAGCTATGTTGCAAAGAGTTTCTTTTAAAATTTGATGTATTAAGCCATAACTCTTGATAAGTATAAACAAGGATTATGGTAAACTGGGACTTTCATGTTCTAAATGAAGAATTATGACCTGAAGAACTCTGCAAATGGAAAGGACCCCAGAGATGCTCTGGTTTGACCTACCGACTTTGCCATTAAGGAAATCGAGGCTCAGAGTGGTCCACCGCGCAAGGTCACAGAGAGAGCCTGGCTGACCCTGGCCTAGGAGCTGCATGCTGGGGAAAATGCATGCACTTGGGAACCAGCCAGATCTCCATGGCCTCAGCAGCCTCCTCCCCTCACTGGGGCTCAGGGCTGTTGTCTTTGACGGGGACGGATAAGCAGCTATAGAAACCTGATGTCTAGAGGCTTTGGGAGCTTCGCTTTCTCCCACTAAAGCAGAAATGATAATGGTATTAGGTGCTGAGACACAGGGTGGCCCCACCTCCAAGGCTTTACAACTTGCCAAAACAGAGCATTTGAGTTCGATCCCTGGTACCAACAAAACAAAACAAAACAACAAACAACAAAAAACAGAGCATTCAAATGTGAAAAAGTCTCTGATGAGAGGGGAAATCACTTCTATAAGCTTTCTTCTCAATCCCTTATGCTATGAACCTACAAATTTCCAAATGATTTATTTTATTTTATTTATTTATTTATGTTTTGGTACCGGGGATTGAACTTGGGTCCTTGCGCTTGCAAGGCAGGCCACCGAACCGCTGAGCTAAATCCCCGGCCCCCAAATGATTTATTTTAAAGAGGGAAAAGAATGAAATTTATTCTGCCTAACTACAAATGGGGATGTTGCTAAGGTGGCATTTTCACTGAATGCAGCATGACACATTATTTCTAATAATATAATACGCACAAGTAGAACTCACTTGCCTTATCCTTTTTC